TTGCAATATTATATTCACGTTTATCCTCTCTATCTTTGCATAATTGTAACAGATTTAAATAATCTTGTTCAGAAAAAGGTGCCAAATGTGCTACTTTACGAACCAATTCAAATGCTTAAATAATTCTATTGTTATTATGTATAATAGCAAGCGCATGTTGAGCAGCAAATGATTTTGAATAATCAGTTTTTTTATCAGTATAATTTAATTTAACACGATTAACTGCTTCATTTACGCTAGTCCTGATCGTAGTAATTAAACTTTTGCCTTTTAAATCCATAATACATTTTAAAAATCCTAACAGATCTTTTTTTTGATTTTTTGTGTATCTTTTTAAATTAGGTTCCACCAAAACCATATCCAGAGAATTATGAAACCAACATACTTCTGGTCAACATTGATCATGATTGTCAGAAAGATGTGCAATAACACATTCTGTATGCATAAAAAAAAAGTTTTCATCTGTAGGACTTTCAATTTCTGGATTATGACATTTCGCGATAGTACCATAAACGCATTTATTATAAAATGACATGATTGGTTACTCTAATGATTTCCATCTAGAATTAGAAGCTTTATAAAAAAAATACGATTAACAATTATAATTATATAATAAATATTTTAATATAAAATTACATTCTTACCTAATTTATTACTTATGAGTTTTGCTTTGTGTTTAAAATAAGTAAAAATTTTGTGTACAATTTTTGAGTTGCAAGTGTTTTGTTACTATTTAAATCTCCATCAATTCCAATATCAAGTATTACATAATTTGTTTCAATTATTGGTGTAATTTTATCAATTATTGCAATTAATATTGCATGTTCTATTTGTTGAGAACTGCTATCATAATTGCCTTTATTGATTACAATTGTTTCTTCTTTTCACTTATAAACCCGAGATTTTTCAGCTACATGAAAAGCAATAATTGAACGATGTACAGATCCTTCTAAAAATCCATTTAATATTAGTTCACCACTTGCTTGTGAAGCTTCATGCACATGGCTTCATAACCAATCAAAACTGCCTTCCAAAATATATTCTTCCTTTTTTTTCAGCTGTTTTTTTATAAAATTTAATGCTGCTGTTAAAGCCTCATCTGCACTTTGATGTGCCACTTGCACAATATCTTTAAGCATAATATCTTGATGTTCAAAATATTGCCTTTTACCACTTTGTTTAGTAATCCCACAAAAGGCTGGCATATTTCTTCATTCTTCACGATTAACACCTCCTAAAAGTCCAGCTCCTGCAACAACTCTCAAAAAATTCATTTTGGTAGATTCATTTGTAAATATAGTAATAGTATGACATTGCTTACATGTAGTGCTAACTTTAACTGAAAGTCCACTGGTTTTATTTTATATTTCTGCTTATCGATCTTACAATTATTACAAGTCGAGCATGGTTGAGCAACTACCAAGCTAAGATATTCTGTAGTGTTGATAAATATGGTTGATCCCAACTTTCCTTTTTGAATCAGCTTTTGAACAAGATTATTATTAGCCATTTGTGATTCTTCATCAAATTCAATTTCATCACTATAGTAAAAATTTGTAAATTATTAGTATTTAAAAACAATATCAAAAAAATAATATTTATTTAATTACTTTCACATCAGAATCATCGTCAGAATTATCGGAACAATCAGAATTTTCATGTAATTGTTCTTGCAATTGTTCAACTTTTTTGAGAACGACGGAAACGTTTTGTAATATTTTAACAATTGCTTTGTGACAACCTTAGTTGCAAAGCTATTGCCTGAGATATTTGCGGTAATACTTTCCATCCTTTCGGATGTATTAATAATCCTTTTTCTATTAAATTTTTATTAGATAATTCAGAAACTTATGCATAAACTCATTTGATATTTCTTCAGCTTTTCGTTTTGCTGTTTTAAATAATTTATCGCGTGCTAATTCTACTTTATATAGTTCTCGTATTTCCTCAAACAAATTAGAATAGGTTTCTGAAACATAACCATGTAACCACTCAACATTTTCTTTTGTAGTCAAGCCCAAATAAAAAGGCATTAAAAGAGCACCATCATAACGTATATCAGAATTTGTTTCCAGATATTGCAGAAGACTAGATACACTACCCTCGGAAAAGTATCCGGCCAAGCTCTTTTAAATTTTTTTAAGATCGGGTATATTAATCTATAAAAAA